GAGCCTACAACTTGGACAGGGTGGGAATAAGCAGTAAACAACGGCTAGACTAAATAATTAAATCAGTAGCCTCTTACAAAGTGTTGAGAGCTATTTTAGAGTGTCCTGCGGATGATGATGGGATCAGCCAGAGTTGAAACTCACGCAGTGCTTCCCTGTCCTACCCATTCTGTCTTTATTTACTGTCTGTTTGTTTGCTTCTCCAAAGAACTCACGAGGCAGCTACTCCTATCATGTGGATTTTATAGACCAAGAAATAGAGGCACATAAGGGTCCATTTGCCTAAGCTTACACCATGGGTCCATGGGAGAGCTGGGACTGGCTGGAATAAACTTCTACACTGACACAGCAGTCCCTCCTCCAAGAGCCCTGGAGGAGACACTCGGTCATCCAAGACACCTGGTAGACCCAGCCAGGGGCAGCACGTGTGTCTTCACACAGCACTGACTGGGGGACTCAGCCTGAGATGACCAAAGCCTGGAATGGAGGAGAACGGACCCAGGATCCTTCTAAAGGAGGGAAATAGAGGCTCCTGGTTTTCCAACTGGACTTGAGGCTTTTCCTAGCACCCCATCTCCAACAACCCTCTTGGGTGATCTTCCTCTTCACACAGTCATCCACAGAGGTGGCAGAGATGGGGAAAGAGGTGACACAGAGCTGCTTCAACACCTGGGGACAGCTGGGCTAAGCAGTTTGGCTGGAAAGAGGCTGAACCTGAACTAGACATCAGGGGTCCACCCAGCAACAGCTCTCAGACTCCATCATGGCCCGTCTATTGGTTGCTACGGTTTTGCTCCAGTACATCAACTGTGTCCATAGTCACAACATCCCTGAGGCACATTTTAATCTTCATCAACCCTCTCCAAGTCTGTCTATGGCTTAGAAGTAGCGTGCCTTGTGGGGACAGCAGCCGACTCCACGAGGTAACCTTCCTCCAGAGGAAGCTCTTAGCTGGAGAGAAGCTGTAGTTTGGACCAGGTGATTCTGTGTCCTGTCTGGACCCAAATGGAGAGCCTTCTGTAGGAAAGGGCACCCCTCTCATGCACCACTCCCAATGAGAAGCTTAATGGCATGGAGCTGACAGGACTCTCGATGCCACGTCCTACAAGACGCAGCACTTAGTAGGAAGCTACTATACTGTGTGAGGATGTCACTCTCCCTGTCACCTATAACCCTAGGCATCCTGGGATGTAGGCAATGCCCTCCCGTCGTACAGATGGCAAAACGGTGAGTTGGAGAACGTAACGTGCCAGTCTCACATCTACATAAGAACAAGGTCCCTAGGACTCTCAGGCTTCAAGCTCTGAAGCTCTCTGCTCTTCTACCTCCGCCTCTCCCCTGAGCTGGCAGGTGAGCTGTTTTGTAGGTGACAGGTACAGACACTTGTCTGAGAACACAGGATGGGTTAGTAGAAGCAGAAGCCTCAAGTGAAACCAGACCAGACCAGACCCAGAGTTTACACGTGCCTGCCGCGCACATGTACCGATTTTGTATCAAGGGAGGAAGAGAAAGTGACTGGAATTTTAAGTTATTTTTAAGGTCATTGCAGCAAATTCATAAGTTTAGAACCAAGAAAAGAAGGAATTCAATATGATTATCAATTAAAAGAGGAATGAGCATGGATACCTGAAGTAGGGTTGACAGTGGGCCAAAACAAGACATTTGGGGTTAAGGAAAGATCAAAAAGTACACGTCTGTGTGTATGTGTGTGTGTGTGTGCGTGTGTGTGTGTGTGTATAAAACCATAGGTGCTCACATTCAGTTTAAAATTATTGAATAGTCAGCAAAAAGCAAATCAAAATGGTCAACGGTGTGGGAAGTGCCAGGGCCCTTGCCCTTGCCCTTGCCCTGGCCCTGGCCCTGGCCCTGGCCCTGGCCCTGGCCCTGGCCCTTGTCCTTGCCTTTGCCCTTGCCCTGGCCCTTGCCTGGTTAGACAGGATGATCTTGATTGCTGATCTGTATCTTGGAAAGTGGGAATCCAGGTAGAGAGGAAATCATTCCTTTTTTATTCTCCATTTCGAGCAAGCTAAAAATCCTGACTCCCTGACTTTTGAAAGTTGATCTGTTTTATTTCACTGAACAAACAAAGCAAAATGAGTCATCTGAATTTCTCCCTGGTTCCCACAAGAACCTCAATTACAAGTGCTAAAAAATCATGTTTTCAATGTTTACTGCAAAAATTCCCCTTAAAATTGGCTGGAGGCTGAATCCTCACTGTGAGACCACCATGGCCTGCTGAGGTTCTGGGAGACACACTGAAGGACATGTGCCCTTACGGCTTCCTGCCGTCTCTACAGTGCTTCTGCATCCCCCTGGGACCCAAGAAGGTCACTACAACACCCCCTCACCCCCCCACCCCACCCCCATCCCTATAGGCTGGCTTCTTTGTCCCTCTCAATCAAGAGCCAATTTCTTAGTCATTCTCTCTTCTCTTTCCCAAAATAGCAGTCCCGTACCTCACAACCCTGCTCTCAACAATCCTACAAATCCATTTATTCTGATCACCAGTGAGTTGGCCATTTCTACTTTTCAAAAGCATTTGCTTTATGCCCCACTTTTACATAGGAGACACAAAAACACCTTGCCCAGAATAAAACATCCCTTTGTGTTAGAACTACGGGCATTTTGGAAGGGTAGCCCACTTAAGAGTTCTCCAACTTGGGTCTTAGTTCACAAATCTGTACTTCTGCACAAGCTGGTTTTAAAATTTATTACTGAAGTACGTGTGTATTCATTTTGCTTGCTCGGAGTGTCCTCTTGCTCACCTATCTGGTAACTTTCCTGCTCATTCCTCAAAACCTTTCCAACACGATCTCCACCCAGACAACCTGCCCAACTCTAGGCCCATGCTAACAGTGGCACCACTAACCCCTTGAAGCACATGAGCACTTGAAATGTGACTAGTCCAAAGTAAGAGGTGCTGAAATACAAAGCAGATTTATAAGGCAGGATTTTAAAATGCAAACCATTCACTAATTGTTGTATTGACTACATGTTGATATGGTATTACTTTGCACATATTGGGTTAAGAAAAATATGTTATCGGGCTGGGGATGTGGCTCAAGCGGTAGCGCGCTCGCCTGGCATGCATGTGGCCCGGGTTCCATCCTCAGCACCACATACAAACAAAGATGTTGTGTCCACCGAAAACTAAAAAATAAATATTAAAATTCTCTCTCTCTCTCTCAAAAAAAATTTAAAAAAAAGAAAAATATGTTATCAAATTAATTTCATCTCTGTTTACTTCTGCAGGTGGCTACTAGAAAATTTAAAATGACACATTTTGTGTCTTACATTAGATTTCCGTTGGATAGCTCTGCTTTCAAGTCTACACCAGTGGTTTTAAATGCAGAAGGAGCTGGAAAGTAGGACTGATTTGTGCGTGTCTATCTGAATGTCTGCAGAGTGGCTCTTTGGAGTGAATAATCTGTTTCTGATGTGCACCAATGATATACTCAAGACAATCAAGGAAGAAGAGATCTGATAGGTGTTTGCTGTTCTGTAGAAATAGAAGTCATCTTCTATTGATTTTGCTGAAATCCTCATGACCTTTCCACCCATTCCTACCCAGGAAAACGGTATGGTGGCATGTGTGGTCTGTGAGTTGACAAGTCCCTGGATGGAGCAGACTAAGTAGAATGTAGGCCAGCAAAGCGTGGACAACTGTGAGGGGAAAGGAAGAGCAGGGTGGGAAGAGAGGGAGCAGGAGGAGGGCAGGAGGAGTAGGAGTAGAGGAGGGGGAGGAACAGGAGGAGGAGGAGAGGAAGGGGGGACAGGAGGAGGAGAAGCAGGAGGAAGGGAGGAGGATCAGGAGGAGGAGGAGGGAAACTAATACTATCCACTATATTGTGCCGAGGACTTCAGTGTGACCAGAATGTCCGTACCTGGGCACAGTGGAAGTCAGTGGGCTCTGAGGGATGTTCATCAACATTGTATTGAAGGTGAGGAGAAGAAAGAGGGGTGCTGTGACCAATCAGGTTGGCAAATGCTGTACTAAACAAAATTAAGAGCTTGTTTTGCTTTTTCCTTTTTAATTGCAGGACTTTTCAGGGTCTTTAATCTGCTATGAAACATTTTGACAGCTCGAAGGGGAAAACTTGAAGTCAGCATTCCCAACATACCTGGCCACAGACTTCCTTTTTAAGAAACACATGCCAACATCACTGGTTCATAAAATTTGTCCTAAACAATGATCTTTAATCTGCATTTTAGGATGAAGAAACCATGGCTCAGGAAGTTGGGACATGCCCTACATTTCTTTGTCATATAACTGGTTTGTGTCTAAGCCCAAATTCCAAATTCACATCTATATCAGAGAAAGGAATTAAACAGGGTCAGAACAGGCAGATATCATCATGAAGCATTCACAGCGCATACAGAAATACTCTTTTTATTTATTTTTTTGTACCAGGGTCTGAACCCAGTGGTGCTTAACCACTGAGCCACATCCCCAGGGTCTCATTAAGTTGCTTAGTGCCTCATGAAATTGCTGAGCCTGACTTTGAACTTGAGATCCTCCTGCCTCAGCCTCCTGAGTTGCTTGGATTACAGGCATGTTGCCACTGCGCTTGGCAGAAATACTCTTAAAGCTACCTCTTTCCTCCCATGTGGCCTAAGCTCCCGGCCTCCCTTCAGTCTTCACTTCCTCTTTGGTCTCCTAGGATGAAAGAGTTAGTTCCCTTGTGAATTTTCCAGTGCTCTGCATTTGGATCTCTCTGGACATACTGCTTTATTATTAGCTTTTTATAGGCACACATCTTATCTCTCCAAGTAGACAAGAGGCTTGCTGTGGTATTGCTTTGAGTTCCCTACAGGGGGTCTTGCTTGTAGCAGGGGCCCACTAGGCCTTTCTTGGTTTTTTAATCACCAGCCTGTTGGATCAGCTGCTAATGGATCATGGTGTCTTTTATAGTATCTAAAGGGTACAGAAAAACTGACTCTTGGTTAGACATTGTGCGCTCGCCTGGTGTCAAACAGCTTGCCATTGAACACTGACGTACCTGTAAAATGCAGCTCATGATATCAGATGCGATTTTTGCATGAGGCGGGTCCTCGTCCCTCCCTGAGGGTCTCAGGCTGTGTTCCAGGCAGGAGTCCCAGAGCCCCACAAGGGCCTTGGCATGCTTCTCAATGGACTCTGTCTCTCTGATGGCTGTTGTGATTCTTGTGATACAGATTTCAACCACTGCCTGGTCATTGTTATTGGTTTGGTAATCCTGTTTGGAAAGAAAACCTTCATGTTGAATAAGACCCTAGAAAGTTATCCTTCAAAGACCAACTACTGACTGTCATTTAGAAAAGGGCAGTCCATGCTGCAGCTAAGGGGTGAGGCTGCAAACCACAGTCTACAATGAGGCCATTGTCCTTCCACCTTGGAAGAGGCAGGCCTGTGGGAGAGGCAGGGAGCAGATGTGCTAGGATGGGGCAGTAGGGCCGCTGGGCCTCAGCCAATGGCCAGGATGGAGAGAGCGGAGGAGCTGAACCCTGCACTTGCATAGGCTTAGCCTCTGGCTCTCTCGGTTTCTCAGCCCATCACAGGGCAGGGTTACCCTGGCATTTCAGGACCACTTATGAAGTTTTCCACACTCCTTTCCAATTTCCCCTCATTAGCTCTCTCTGTCTTTGGGGACACAACAGTAGACATCATGTCATTTCTCCCTCTTCCATGCAGGTAGCTGCCAAACCCAGTTTAGCTTTCCCTGGCCAAACTGCCCTCCACTCCCATTTCACATCTTTCAGATTCCACACTCAACCGAGTTATTACCACCGCCCAGAGCATCGAACTGTGGAAAAAATGCTGCTGGCATTCATTTGAAAATCAGTCTGTGAACTGCATGTGGCTGACTCACAAAGCTGACAACATCGTGGTGTCTCTAAGCGTTGAGGTCTTTTGATGCAGGAGGTGATGATGGGCTTTTCTGTCCATGACAGGTTCTGCTCTGAACGTTCTCCTCATTGTTACTATAACTAAGGGGACAGTAAACACCTTTGCGTGAATCACTCTCTTCCCTGCAAATCACTTGTAGCCTAGATTCTACAGAAATTGGACTTCTGAGTCTCAGGATGGGATTGCTTTTCAGGCTCAGGAGATGTCCATGTACTATTCTGGGAAAGTCTTGCTACTCGGTGCTCGGTCATCTGGGTGAACCTGGTCTCCTTCTGTGCTTTTTCAGGAACAGAGCATTTCTAATTTTTGACTTTTTGATAGGTGAGAAACAGTATTTCTTTGCCATATTAATCAGGGTACCCTGACCCAAAGCCAGCTGGAGACATTTCACCTGTTTGTTGGTGTTCCCATTTCCACCTCTGGGAACCCGTGTGTGTCCCAGGTTCATCTACCCTCACGACTTGCTTTACTCTTTGATCCTCCTCTGGTGCAATCTCTCCTTCCATGGAGAATGCCAAGTCGACACTTGACATTGAGACGTGGATACGCCTGCATATTTCACTACTGCCAGCTTAATTTTGCTTTGTGCTTCTATTTACTGGTGTTTTAAGGTTTTGGATAGTCAAATCTGTCATTTTGGGGGGTCTCATTGTTTTTCCTTTCTGGTTTTCAATTGGAAATTTATGGGCTTAAATTATTCATAGAGTTAACAATGAATTCAATAGACATGGTAGAGAAATTCAAAGGATGCCAAGAGAAGGTTTGCTGTGAAAAGCAAGAAGTCCTGCTTCCCCGTGCCCTGCTCCTATTCCCAGTTCCCTTCCCCAGAAGTGGAGCACATAGAAATCGCCTGTGCATAAGCCTTCCTTCCTGTGTGCTCCTTTTAATGCTTTAAAACAACACAACAACAACAACAACAGAAGCTTCCAGTTTTCCTTACTGAAAGTCCTAATAAGAATCGCCCCTTATTTTTCTAGATTAACAACAACCTGACAAAGGATCCCATTTATTATTTTAGAAATTAGTCTCCTAACCATCCACTTAGTTCTTCCATCTCTGTATTTGTGGAAGGACATAGAATGCCTTTTCTTTGAGGAGCTCATCTCATCTTGCCACTCCCATTGCAAAAAAGCTCATCTCCTGGCAATTGACTCACGGGCATGGGGTACGGATTCAGGGCTGTCTTGAGTCTGCTGTGCCGGTCCTCAGCTCTCCCACACCATGGATCTCAGGGTCTTCCTTGTGTCAGCTCCAGATTCCTGACATACATTTTGTGTTTTTGTGGTTGCTATTAACAAAATCTGTTTTTCCCCTCATCAGGAATTTTAATTAGTTCTTGCTGATTAAGTGAACCTTTTGCTTTTTGTATTTATTTTGTAGCCAGCTGTTGAGCTCCACTATTCTTAATTATGATAAATTTTCAAATTATTCTCTTGGGTTTTCTAGGAAGATTTTTGTATTTTGCAGGCCTGCTGAGGTCTGTCCCTTTGATATATCTCACAGCTTAATATGTTGTCAAGAATTCCCTAAGCTATTTCACATAAAAGTGATTAGAGACAGAACACTGGTTTAGTCTGGAATTTCTTTTAATCAGTTTTTGTTTGCATCCTTTTTTTTTCTTTTTGTAGATGTGTATGGACAGCATGCCTTTATTTTATTTGTTTATTTTTATGTGGTGCTAAGGATCAAACCAATGACTCACATATACTAGGCAAGCGCTCTACCACTGAGCTACAGCCTCAGTCCCAGTCTAGAATTTTAAAAATATAAAATTCTATGGCCAGAACCAAGATAATACAGTAAATGTTTTAAATCATACAAGATGCACCACTTTCTTCCTATTTTTAAAGTTCATAAATTTGATTTAATATTATAATTTATAATATTAAAGAAGTTTCAATCCATTTCTATTTTGTTGAGTTTATTTCTTAATCAAGATTGGTGATTAAATGCCTTTTGACCATTGCTAGATACATCATTTTATTTTTGTCCTCAGAGCCATCGTTATGACAAAATTTAGAAACAAACTTCCTTAAAACAGTTAGTTTTGCAAATGCCGAATGTTTTCTAATATAAGAAGGCTGATTCATAGTGAGGTTGGGAGGGGGAACATGGGCAGATTAGACAAACTCTAGGTAGGGCAAATGGGAGGGAAGGGAGGGAAGGGGGAAAGTAGTATATAAAAGATGGTGGAATGAGATGGACATCATTTCCCTAAGTACATATATGAAGACACGAATGGTGGGAATATACTTTGAATACAGTCAGATATATGAAAAATTGTGCTCTATATGTCTAATATGAATTTAATGAATTCTGCTGTCATACATATCAAATTAAAATGAAAAAAAAAAAAACAGTTAGTTTTACATTGCTGGACTGTGTTTTACTGAATTCTGGGAATAGTTTTTTAATGTGCTGTGGGATTTTGCTTTTACTATTTATTTAAATATTTTGCATAAATATTTGGTCCTTATATCTGTCACGTTTTGTATCATTTACTCTAATTTCATAACAGGATTTGGAAAGAGTTAAGCTCTCTATACCTTAATTTTTTTTAACCTTAGTGTATCATGGCCCAAGAATAGCATATTAAAATATTCTGCAACTAGCGTGCCTATCTATTTTTCCTGGTATCTCCTATGGTTTTTGTCTTGTGCACATTGTTGTTAAATACTCTGATGCAGAGATATTAATTCCATAACTCTTGTCATCTAAACTGTCTGGCATAAAAATTACCTTTGTAGGTAGTTATGATTTAGATATGAGGTGTTCCTCCAAAGCTCCTGTATGAGACAATGCAACAAAGTTTCAAGGTAAAATGATTGGATTACAAGAACCTTAACTTAAGCAGTGGATTAATCCACTGATAGGGGCTAACTGGGTGTGACTGTAGGCAGGCAGGGTGTGGCTGGAGGAGGTGGGTCGTTGGAGGCATGCCTTTGGGGTTTATATTTTGTCCATGATAAGTGGAGTGCTCTCTGTCTGCTCCTGGTTGTCATGCCCTGAGCTGCTTTCCTCCTCCAAGCCCTTTTGCCATGATGTTCTGCCTCACCTTGGCCCCAGAGCTGTGGAGTCAGCCAACTGTGGACTGAACCTCTCAAACTGTGAGCCAAAATGAACTTTTCCTCCTCTACACACTCCTGTCAGGTCTTTTGGTCACAATGACCAAAAAGGCTGACTAACATATTGGTTTTATTTAATGCTTTTTAGCATGAATGTTTTTCTGTTTGATATAAATATCATCATCTCTGTTTCTTTTGGTTTGTATTTGCCTAGCATCAATTTCCCGTTTTATTCTCATTTGAAAAATTTCTTTTGCAGCCTATGCTGCATTGAATGAATGATTGATAACTTTGCAAAAAAAAATATTTAGTAGACATTATTCAATGATTCTCAGTAGCCAAAAGCATGTCTAATAATGGGGTTTACAAAAGTAAGAAAGTATCACTTGAGCATCATTTGATTCCCAAATAATTTATCATAATCAACAATTTAAGCATGATGGGGCTGCATGTATACATCACAAATCTTCATTTGAGAACAGAAGACCCTGCCTTAGCAAATAAGTAGGCAAACTTGTTCTCACGATATTCAGCTAAAAATGATTGATTTTGACTCAGTTGATTTCCTATCTCAAAGTATCCATTTCTATGCTTTGTCTGGCAATTGATCACGGTAACAAAAAAAAAAAAAAACTGTAGCCTATATACAAGGTCTGAATATGTGATATGGTTTTACTTCAAAATTGTTTGCTTTAATTGGAATTACCAAGGGTCTATATGAAATGGACTTACCATGCAATGCAATGATTTCAGATGGTCAAGGTGGACTACTACAGTGGACACTGGCAAATGTCCAAACCCCACCCAGGACAAAGGCACTCGTGTCCTTAGCTACTCTTCCATCTGGACAATCTGAATCCAACTGGTCCATGTGGGGACAAGAAAAGTCTGCCATCTTGAGGGGGTTATGCTGTAGCTTGCTGCTGCAGGAACCTAAGAGGTCATAGCAAACATTGTCACACTGCCCCATCAAGCACCTACTGTGTGGCCGAGGGTGTACTAAGCAGAATGTGAATGAAACAGGGACAGAGAAGATTGTACCCAGGAGGATTCAAGTCAGAAATATGAAGGGAAGCCCAGCTTGCTTTTCCTTTGAACCTGGTGACTCACACGACCAGCTGAAGAGGGTTGGGAATCTGAGCAGGCAAGTGTGAACACACTAAGGGACTAAGCTGGGAAGGCCGCATTCATGGATAGGAAAGGGTGGAGGGTCGACTTCCCCATCCCATGAGAATTCTTGGGAGGATCTTTAGATCCAGACTCC